CACATATAATCTGAAACATGAAGCTACCTGGCATAGATTACATGTCAATACTGGTCTGGAATTGAATCTTTTATCACCCTGCCTTAACAAAATAGCTACACCTCAGCAGTTATCATTAGTTACTTATCAAATTCTTAATTGATTTAACAGGTGTATGTATGCCATTTCATATGATGTTTGGGGCTGATGTGATCAAATATTATGATTTTCACTGTTGTTACATATTGATATTCAAATTAAAATGACAAAGATCCATGCAAATTCAGTATCACATATATTATGATGAACGTTACAATATACTACATGGTTTCTTCTCCTTGAAGGGATTTTCCTTTACAGGGAACACTAGGGGATCCCCTGTGATATTTTGCTGACAGAAAGAGATGAGGTCATTCAGTGTCCGGCTGGCACGTACTCGGTCTACTTTCAGGTGGTGTTTCAGCTGTTCCACCTGACTTGTGAGCTTGAGGATTTGGTCATTCTTAACCTTGTTTTGGACAACCATGGTGACAAGATGCTACGTGAAGATTCTCTGTGTGTACACTACGACACCCCAGTCAATTAACACCATGCACTCCGCTAAAGAAGGTAAACAAAACAGGGGAAAAAAAGAAAATAAAAAAGCTATACACAGGATAGATATACCAAGGAACAGACATGCAGGAATGAACTTATACTACAACATAAACACAACAGAGAAAGGAAGAATGCATATATACCACTAATACTATAGCAAAACAATACAAAATAACAACAGAATAAAGGAGCATACAGTTATGGAATCACACACCCAAAATACATGCATACATCGCCTGCATCTAGTCCTCAGGACGTATGTCACTCATTGACACAATACAGCATTTCATATTTTGATGATCTAGGTGATCTAATTAATATGCACACAATTCACTGAAAAATAAATAGCCTATATACCAGAAAACAAACTACAACCTGAACAGTTTTCTTATATAATGCAGGTGATTTAGGAAGTTCCTCAGTAATGGATGGTTTCATTCAAAACACATCTCATGATTAGCGCCCTGTATCAAATATCTCTAACTGATGGTGAAAACGTTATGACTACTAGAACATTACAAAGTTGACAGGTGTGATGGGCCTATGACACCTATCTGAAGAGAGTAAAGAACACCAAAATATTGACTGAACATATGTCCATTGCTACCTATTTAGAACAGAAAAAAGAAAACGAATATTGAATATTTAAGATTACCGTCCCGAGTTAAGTTATTTCAGACTCACGAGAATATCAAATATTTACAACCCTACACTGCCATAGATGAGAATGAAAAGTCAGTGATGGTTCTTCACTATCGGAATCTATTACCTCTATAGACACATATACATTTGAAACATACTTTTTAGAAGTGAATATAATTTGTTTATAATAAGAGCATGCAATGAAAGTCATATCCTGCTTGTTACTCACACCATTTATTCACTATGTGCACAAATAAATGAAGGCTCATATCGTCCAGCTACTTAGAATTGTCCCTATCTAGTACTGTATGCATCGTATAAAGTTGTGCAATCCCACAACTGTACCGGTAGTGAAATGACCATGCGTCATGCAAACACATTGAAGTACAAAACCAAAACAATATCACTCAAAATGCTTGAATATTAAATTACACTTGGGTATTGGTTATTTATCTTTTTGAAGTGAAAGGCAACTGTATTGCTCCTTAATCTGTTGTTAAAGTTCTATCAATTTATTAAATGAAAGTGAAAGATCATGGCTTCACCCTATTGTCTGTCATATGTGAAAGATTATTATGTCAACCCATTAACTGTTGCAAGTAAAAGGCTATGATGCTGCCCTATAATCCACCCTGAGTGAAGGGCTATGATGTTGCCCCATAATCCATCCTGAGTGAAGAGCTATGATGTTGCCCTATAATCCACCTTGAGTGAAGAGCTATGATGTTGCCCCATAATCCATCCTGAGAGATGGGCTATGATGTTGCCCTATAATCCACCTTGAGTGAAGAGCTATGATGTTGCCCTATAATCCACCCTGAGTGAAGGGCTATGATGTTGCCCCATAATCCATCCTGAGAGATGGGCTATGATGGTGCCCTATAATCCATCCTGAGAGATGGGCTATGATGGTGCCCTATAATCCACCCAGAGTGAAGGGCTATGATGTTGCCCTATAATCCACCCTGAGTGAAGGGCTATGACATTGCCCTATAATCCACTCTGAGTGAAGGGCTATGACATTGACCTATAATCCACCCTGAGTGAAGGGCTATGACGTTGCCCTATAATCCACCCTGAGTGAAGGGCTATGACATTGACCTATAATCCACCCTGAGTGAAGGGCTATGACGTAATCCACCCTGACCTATAATCCACCCTGAGTGATGGGCTATGACCATTGAGAGATGGGCCCTATAATCCACCCTGAGTGAAGGGCTATGACTGTGCCCTATAATCCACCCTGAGTGAAGGGCTATGACGTTGCCCTATAATCCACTCTGAGTGAAGGGCTATGACATTGCCCTATAATCCACCCTGAGTGAAGGGCTATGATGTTGCCCTATAATCCACCCAGAGTGAAGGGCTATGATGTTGCCCTATAATCCACCCTGAGTGAAGGGCTATGACATTGCCCTATAATCCACCCTGAGTGAAGGGCTATGACATTGCCCTATAATCCACCCTGAGTGAAGGGCTATGACGTTGCCCTATAATCCACCCTGAGTGAAGGGCTATGATGTTGCCCTATAATCCACCCTGAGTGAAGGGCTATGATGTTGCCCTATAATCCACCCTGAGTGAAGGGCTATGACATTGACCTATAATCCACCCTGAGTGAAGGGCTATGATGTTGCCCTATAATCCACCCTGAGTGAAGGGCTATGACACTGCCCTATAATCCACCCTGAGTGAAGGGCTATGACACTGCCCTATAATCCACCCTGAGTGAAGGGCTATGACATTGCCCTATAATCCACCCTGAGTGAAGGGCTATGACGTTGCCCTATAATCCACCCTGAGTGAAGGGCTATGACACTGCCCTATAATCCACCCTGAGTGAAGGGCTATGACACTGCCCTATAATCCACCCTGAGTGAAGGGCTATGACATTGCCCTATAATCCACCCTGAGTGAAGGGCTATGATGTTGCCCTATAATCCACCCTGAGTGAAGGGCTATGACATTGACCTATAATCCACCCTGAGTGAAGGGCTATGACACTGCCCTATAATCCACCCTGAGTGAAGGGCTATGGATATGACCAACAAACCACGCAGAGACAATCGCTGTGAGTTGCCCTATAATCCACCCTGAGTGAAGAGCTATGACTATACTCCACCCTGAGTGAAGGGCTATGACTCTGCCCTATAATCCACCCTGAGTGAAGGGCTATGACGTTGCCCTATAATCCACCCTGAGTGAAGGGCTATGACATTGACCTATAATCCACCCTGAGTGAAGGCTATGACGTTGACCTATAATCCACCCTGAGTGAAGGGCTATGACATTGACCTATAATCCACCCTGAGTGAAGGGCTATGACGTTGCCCTATAATCCACCCTGAGTGAAGGGCTATGACGTTGCCCTATAATCCACCCTGAGTGAAGGGCTATGATGGTGCCCTATAATCCACCCTGAGTGAAGGGCTATGACGTTGCCCTATAATCCACCCTGAGTGAAGGGCTATGACGTTGCCCTATAATCCACCCTGAGTGAAGGGCTATGATGTTGCCCTATAATCCACCCTGAGTGAAGAGCTATGACGTTGCCCTATAATCCACCCTGAGTGAAGGGCTATGACACTGCCCTATAATCCACCCTGAGTGAAGGGCTATGACATTGACCTATAATCCACCCTGAGTGAAGGGCTATGACACTGCCCTATAATCCACCCTGAGTGAAGAGCTATAATCCACCCTGAGTGAAGGGCTATGACACTGCCCTATAATCCACCCTGAGTGAAGGGCTATGACATTGACCTATAATCCACCCTGAGTGAAGGGCTATGACATTGACCTATAATCCACCCTGAGTGAAGGGCTATGACACTGCCCTATAATCCACCCTGAGTGAAGGGCTATGATGTTGCCCTATAATCCACCCTGAGTGAAGGGCTATGACGTTGCCCTATAATCAACTCTGAGTGAAGAGCTATGACACTGCCCTATAATCCACCCTGAGTGAAGGGCTATGACGTTGCCCTATAATCCACCCTGAGTGAAGGGCTATGACGTTGCCCTATAATCCACCCTGAGTGAAGGGCTATGACGTTGCCCTATAATCCACCCTGAGTGAAGGGCTATGACACTGCCCTATAATCCACCCTGAGTGAAGGGCTATGACATTGCCCTATAATCCACCCTGAGTGAAGAGCTATGACACTGCCCTATAATCCACCCTGAGTGAAGGGCTATGACGTTGCCCTATAATCCACCCTGAGTGAAGGGCTATGACGTTGCCCTATAATCCACCCTGAGTGAAGGGCTATGACGTTGCCCTATAATCCACCCTGAGTGAAGGGCTATGACACTGCCCTATAATCCACCCTGAGTGAAGGGCTATGACGTTGCCCTATAATCCACCCTGAGTGAAGGGCTATGACATTGACCTATAATCCACCCTGAGTGAAGGGCTATGACGTTGCCCTATAAACCACCCTGAGTGAAGGGCTATGACGTTGCCCTATAATCCACCCAAAGTGAAGGGCTATGATGGTGCCCTATAATCCACCCTGAGTGAAGGGCTATGACGTTGCCCTATAATCCACCCTGAGTGAAGGGCTATGACATGTACCTTTTACCATCCTACGTTAAACTGAAAGATTACAACACTGCCTCATTATCTTTGTGATGAGAAATCATGGCGTTTACCTATTACCTACTGAAGGTAGTGAAGGCCATGTTAACACTGTCCTTTGTTTGATATTGGAGCAAGAGATCACAATAATGCTCCAATAATACATCTCAGTTACAAGTTTCCTTGCATGTTTGTCACTTACCTGGAATCAAGAGTCTGGTCCTCCTTTTACTGTGTGCTGACTGCACTAACTTCAGCAAGGCTTAATTCTGTCAAAGGAACAAAATGGAATATAAATCATTGAAAAATAGAAAGAAAACCTTTCTTCAAAAACCTTATAGTTGTCACAGTTGATATACATTTACCAGGGTAGTGTATCTTGGAACAATTATTATTTACACAATTATTGGTTTCTTCAGATTGTTACTTGGAACTTATTTTCTGTACATAAATAGACAACTGTACACAGCATAACTTCTGACAGTGCAACAGGATTGGTTTTTTTTATTGACTATCTCTCCTGATCAAATTTTGTCAATATTCTTGTTGAAGGATTTAAAATTCAGAGTTGTCACACTGGCTAACCTTTAAGTGTATATATACAAGATCATCCTGTCTACAAACGAGCTGTAATGGTGTAGTTTACAGTGCTTATGAGTGGATGTTAAGTGTTTATCATTTCCATGAAAACATCTCTTGAAAGTGAACAAACTTTTAAAACCAAGTTACATTACACATTTAATTCATTCATAATCTACAATTTACTTTCGTGAGTTCTTTTCAACTTTGTTGCCAAAAAACAATGGGTTATGCGATGTAAAATTGATGTATTTCAAGTCCGATAAAATTTCTACAAGTACAGGACTCAGGATTCATATGTAGATTGGTCACTTTTTAATTACTAATATCATTTCAATCAATGATATATACAATGATGCAAATTAAGATAATTTGTAGGTATATAATTTTAAATTCTGATAAGTATTGTTATATAGCTAAGTGATAAAAAGTAGATTTTAAAAAGTTGACAATTACCATGACTGAAATGAAAGTCTAAAACTTAAATATGTTTGTGTCCTGTCTCCATGAACCACTAGCTTTAACACCTATACTCTGATATATACACATGCTTGTAACAACGGCCTGGCCACTTATACTAACATTAAAAAGTTATCACAGCTAATTTACAGGCAATATATATACAATTTGGCTTTGGAATCTACAACTTGACACAAATGAACTGACAAGTTCAAAATCCATCTCCTTAACCTGCTACTGTATACTGAAAGTTAATTGAATTAACACTGCTTCATCAGTAGAGAAACTACTAACATTACAAATTATTGTTTTCTCTGTAACAGTGCTTCATCAGTGTAGAATGACTAATAGTAAAATTTGTTTTCCCAGTAACACTGCTATTCTGAAAAGTGGTTTGACATCACAATCACACCAAAGGCAGACATACAACAAATAGCAGTCATAAATTCATTGCATCATAAAAGCTTATATACCAGTCATTTTTGTACTTGAATATTTGAGTCCTGGGCGCATGCTTTTCCTGTGTGACAAACAAAAATTCTGAAAACCCAAGGAAAGTACTACTCAAAATTTCTGACAATGAGTTCTGGACTACCCTGAAGAGAACCCTACAAAAGTGACAGATATGCTTGTAATTAAGATAGTGAATTTCATTAAAACCCTGAAAGCTGTATTCTTCCAACCAATCTTCAATATTACTGTTGCCTGTTGTCACTAACTAATCCCTACAAATTCATACAACTTTTCTCATGACGAATTGGGTATCTAGAGGAGGGGGGCTAGCAACCAAGTATCCAACACTGAGGACAGGATCAAGTTGGCTCATGATAACCTTGCTGTGCTATTTCTTGAGACTGAATATTACATGAGATTTCCTTTTTCTTCACAACATTTCATATAATATAATTGATCCTTCTGACTACTGGTATTGGTAAACAATGTGGCTGACTCACACAATACCAAGTTGCCATATTTGGAATTCATTTCAACCAGCTGAACATTTAGATGGAAGTAAAAATTGCAAAAAGCTATCAAGATCTGCTAAGTTGAGATTCCGCATGGGGAAATTTTAACCAATCAACATAAGAGCATATTTTGTTCTTGATTTCTGGTTTAAGGTTAGGGAGTTTTTGTCACTTTACATATAAATAGGAAATTAATACAAGGTCTCTAACATGGAAGGTAAGGAAGTGTTCTGATTTGGCATGAATTAAACAAAGTCAAAATAATGATCATGAAGATAAAATATGATTATTTGAATGTTAATGAAATTTAAACATCCTTATACTGATGAACTGACTGAAAAAAAAGAAACAGGCAGTTCCAAGTTATATACGTTTACCAAAGCCGCAACATACGCAACTTTCATTAAAACAATGAAGAGAAAAACAATCCAATTATATTAATATAGTGAAAATTAACTTGCTTAAGATATACTCAAGACAATATTGTGTGTTATGCATTAGTAAGAAAGCTGTTGAAATTCACTCTTTGAAAAGATTCTCCATTTATGATTGTTGTTGAAACTGTCTGAAAATCCTTCCGACATTTCTGTGCGAGGCGAGTCCTCACTACTCACTATAAGCACACATCCTATTTTAGAATACAAAACTGACCAACAAATTATTATGCACTTGCATTCTACCTGTGATATGACATTACTGAAAGCATAGCTCTTGCGACAATGCTCTTACCTGTAAATGCACCTGCTACACTGGTATACTTGAAAATGCAGATTGGTCACACGGGTTTTGCAAGCATTTGAAGCCTTTCAAACTTTGTGTAACATCAGTTTACATTTTCAGTAAGACCCACATTTTATCAATTTTTATTTGTTTCGATATCCCCACAAAGAACAGATACCACTCTGCTTGTGTATATCTTTGTGTTATTATCGAGTGAAAGTTTTCTCTGAATCTTGTAAATATGACAAATGATAAGTATATAAGGGCTTTTTATATCATATTCACCGTTAGACAGTGTCTATTTCATACTACAAACTTTTTGCACAAAACTTTGAAAAAGTTAATGAAAAGCGAAAGTTACGTTTTCTGCTTTTGAAATGTTAAACTGATGACAAAAGAGACATAATTTCACAGTGGTGTGTCATACAGATACCGAGATCTCAGGAATCACACTGCAATCTCGCATGGTCATCGTTCATTTAATGCAAGGAAGGAAATTTATACATGTACACGTTGCTGTAAATTCCAGGTAGAAAAAAAGTGTTGTTTAGTCTACCTATTTTCTGCTAGTTTAGCCCGTGTCTACCGTGATGACATATGCGGTCTCTGATCAGGTATAGTAACAACGTTTGTATTATTTAAGAAATTTCCCCTAACCAGTGAACAGTCTGCTATAACAAGGACTAAATGTGACCCACACACAGTTGACTATTGATCATGAGTTTAGCGCTGAAATCTAATGTCGGTGTGTGGTGGAGAAAATGTCAACATTTCATCAAAGATAATGATTTGGCCGCACCCTTCCAATAATTCTTAAACCGCGAACATCTGAAAATCACACACTCGACTTTATTCAAAATTAAAATCAACCTGAATAGGCCAAGCAGTGATTTCATTACGATGTTATAACTACGTATGGCACAGATTTTCTCGGCAATTTACTCAATCTTTGGTTTCCGAGAATATGGGCACCTGTAGAAATGACATCACTGTTCTTTTCCTTTAAATTCAAAGTATAATGTATGTGCCTTGTGAAAATAATATATCACCTATTCGGAAAACAATCATCATATCATTTCTTACCTACAAAATGCCAGGATATCCTAAGGTGTGGTTGACAGTAGTGACGAGAGAGGACTACGCCGATTGTGTTCCTCGGTTGGAAATAACAATATGGCGAAAGCCTCGTTCTGAATGCGTAATACTTAGCACATACCAACTATAGTCTATTTCCCAAAAGTTATTAAGATTTATAATTTAATACTTATTTGGTTTTGTTTGAAAAAAAGAAAGGGGACGAATGAAATGTTTTATACAATAATATATAGGCTACATGCTTTATAAAATTACCATAAGAACAATATTTGCCAAATTATTAACGTAAACTTGTACGGGAGTTATTTCCCTTTATTCATATTCTTGTGACAGCATAAAACAAGATTTGAAAAAAAAAATACATAAATAAATAAAAGTATCGGTACATTTTCGTTGATTTTACATGGACGTATTAATAGAATGACCTTACTTTTAGTCAATGACAATAAGTATTTGAGGTTTTTCTTAATTTTGGAACACATCGATTTTGGGGCGAAAGTACAACAAACAGTTGAAAAAAGAAATAAACAGAGACAAACATAAATGTTTCTGAAATCAAGTACAACAATCCCTCTGTTTATCATAAAAAATCTGAACAAAGGATAAAGACTTAAAAATTTGTTTAAATATCAGAACATTATTAAATATAGGACTTTTAAACAGCATTTCTCAGTTTCCTCTTTTTTTTTCATTTGTTTTGATGTAGATTTCAGCTCGGTAATTTAAACGGACATTTTTCACTAATGTTATTTTTATTTGCCTTATGTTATTCTACTACATTGAATGAAAGAGGAAATATGTAGAAGATCGATAGATTCTTATCTAAGATAACAACAAACACACATTATTCTTCGGAAACAATTATTCTAAAAAGTAATATTAGGTATAAAAGATATTCTGCATGCTGTTATACGAAGTCAAAACAAACTTTATCAATTATCTATTTTAATTTCAGATTAACAGTTATTGACGTTAGGTAAAACACTTTGATTCAATATCTCAGAATGTTTTCTATTACTCAATGCTATAGACACCTTCTCAAACCTTCTAACCAGAGAGGTCCAGGTATTCTATATTCGTCCGCCAATCTTCATGCTATTTCTAAAGTTAATGTCTAATTAGTAAAATTAATATTATACATTTATCTATTTATTTATTCATTTATTTTATTTTTTTTTATAAGAAATTTAAACATTTAAACAAAATCTCTCCCTATTTAAGTAGTATATTTGTGTATGCGACTCGGAACTGTTTGCGATATAAGATTTTGTTTACTGCCTGGTAAATGTTGATTATGTTACACTAGTAATTAAAACCGTCATTGATTACCTTGTACTGCTTTTAATAGCAACTCCTCAGGGCCAATGTTTTCTTAATACGACGTAAAATTTAATTTAAGCAGCTGTGTTTAAAATTGTAGTGTTAGATTCTTGCACAACAGACGTCACAAATGAGTAGCCACCTTTCAGTATTGATTTAGAAGTAGATACAGTAGAGTCAAATAAACTGCATCATACAGCTGTTTCGTTGTTCTAAAACTCGTCATTGATTCCTAGTTTGTACGATGTCTGAAGATAAATTCATTTGTATTTTGAAATATCCACGATTATTTTTACTTAAGAAATAATTACCAATATCAAAATATACAAAGGCAGAGTGTGCAGAAAGAAACAAACTAATCCTATTTGTTGCATTATCAAAAAATATTTTCATGCCTCCGGAACGAAAGATCGGGGCCATATTGTTTTTGTGCTGTTTGTTAGTTTGTCTGTAGTCAACTTTAACCTTGCCCATAACTATAGCAACTTGATCGTGACCTTTGACCTACATTTGAGAAAAAAACATTGACCATAACTATTGAACTAAAGTTATCAAACCATTACCATAACGAGGACACAAGCGTTTCACAAACTGTGCATGCAATCAGCACATGCCTTGTACAATACAGTTTTAATGTCCCACTTCAGAATTTTCAGGGCATAGTATCTCGAAAAATATCTTCTTTGATTTGTAATAGTACAATATAGCTTACGCAATCCAAACGTTTCCATTATTATGTAATATGATATTGGTTACGCCTTCCAAATGTATCTGATAATTTGTAATATAATGTATCTACATCTGCAAGATACTGTATAGACTGAAGGTTAACCGTCTGATGGAAGATACTGTATAGACTGAAGGTTAACAGTGTGGTGATAGATACTGTACAGATTGAAGGTTAACAGTGTGATGGTAGATACTGTACAGACTGAAGGTTAACAGTGTGATGGTAGATACTGTACAGACTGAAGGTTAACATCCTGATGGTAGATACTATACATACTGAATGTTAACAGTGTGATGGTAGATACTGTACAGACTGAAGGTTAACATCCTGATGGTAGATACTGTACAGACTGAAGGTTAACATCCTGATGGTAGATACTGTATAGACTGAAGGTTAACCGTCTGATGGAAAATACTGTACAGACTGAAGGTTAACAGTGTGATGGTAGATACTGTACAGACTGAAGGTTAACAGTGTGATGGTAGATACTGTACAGACTGAAGGTTAACATCCTGATGGTAGATACTGTACAGACTGAAGGTTAACGGTGTGATGGTAGATACTGTACAGACTGAAGGTTAACTTCCTGATGGTAGATACTGTACAGACTGAAGGTGAACATCCTGATGGTAGATACTGTACAGACTGAAGGTTAGCATCCTGATGGTAGATACTGTATAGACTGAAGGTTAAGAGTGTGATGGTAGATACTGTACAGACTGAAGGTTAACATCCTGATGGTAGATACTGTACAGACTGAAGGTTAACAGTCTGATGGTAGATACTGTAAAGACTGAAGGTTAACAGTGTGATGGTAGATACTGTACAGACTGAAGGTTAACAGTGTGATGGTAGATACTGTACAGACTGAAGGTTAACATCCTGATGGTAGATACTGTACAGACTGAAGGTTAACATCCTGATGGTAGATACTGTACAGACTGAAGGTTAACAGTGTGATGGTAGATACTGTAAAGACTGAAGGTTAACAGTGTGATGGTAGATACTGTACAGACTGAAGGTTAACTTCCTGATGGTAGATACTGTACAGACTGAAGGTGAACATCCTGATGGTAGATACTGTACAGACTGAAGGTTAACATCCTGATGGTAGATACTGTATAGACTGAAGGTTAAGAGTGTGGTGGTAGATACTGTAAAGACTGAAGGTTAACAGTGTGATGGTAGATACTGTACAGACTGAAGGTTAACATCCTGATGGTAGATACTGTACAGACTGAATGTTAACAGTGTGATGGTAGATACTGCACAGACTGAAGGTGAACATCCTGATGGTAGATACTGTACAGACTGAAGGTTAACATCCTGATGGTAGATACTGTACAGACTGAAGGTTAACAGTGTGATGGTAGATACTGTACAGACTGAAGGTTAACAGTGTGATGGTAGATACTGTACAGACTGAAGGTTAACAGTGTGATGGTAGATACTGTACAGACTGAAGGTTAACAGTGTGATGGTAGATACTGTACAGACTGAAGGTTAACAGTGTGATGGTAGATACTGTACAGACTGAAGGTTAACAGTGTGATGGTAGATACTGTACAGACTGAAGGTTAACAGTGTGATGGTAGATACTGTACAGACTGAAGGTTAACAGTGTGATGGTAGATACTGTACAGACTGAAGGTTAACAGTGTGATGGTAGATACTGTACAGACTGAAGGTTAACATCCTGATGGTAGATACTGTACAGACTGAAGGTTAACATCCTGATGGTAGATACTGTATAGACTGAAGGTTAAGAGTGTGATGGTAGATACTGTACAGACTGAAGGTTAACATCCTGATGGTAGATACTGTACAGACTGAAGGTTAACAGTCTGATGGTAGATACTGTACAGACTGAAGGTTAACAGTGTGATGGTAGATACTGTAAAGACTGAAGGTTAACAGTGTGATGGTAGATACTGTACAGACTGAAGGTTAACAGTGTGATGGTAGATACTGTACAGACTGAAGGTGAACATCCTGATGGTAGATACTGTACAGACTGAAGGTTAACAGTGTGATGGTAGATACTGTACAGACTGAAGGTTAACAGTGTGATGGTAGATACTGTACAGACTGAAGGTTAACGGTGTGATGGTAGATACTGTACAGACTGAAGGTTAACGATGTGATGGTAGATACTGTACAGACTGAAGGTGAACATCCTGATGGTAGATACTGTACAGACTGAAGGTTAACATCCTGATGGTAGATACTGTATAGACTGAAGGTTAAGAGTGTGGTGGTAGATACTGTAAAGACTGAAGGTTAACAGTGTGATGGTAGATACTGTACAGACTGAAGGTTAACATCCTGATGGTAGATACTGTACAGACTGAATGTTAACAGTGTGATGGTAGATACTGTACAGACTGAAGGTTAACATCCTGATGGTAGATACTGTACAGACTGAAGGTTAACATCCTGATGGTAGATACTGTACAGACTGAAGGTTAACAGTGTGATGGTAGATACTGTACAGACTGAAGGTTAACAGTGTGATGGTAGATACTGTACAGACTGAAGGTTAACAGTGTGATGGTAGATACTGTACAGACTGAAGGTTAACAGTGTGATGGTAGATACTGTACAGACTGAAGGTTAACAGTGTGATGGTAGATACTGTACAGACTGAAGGTTAACAGTGTGATGGTAGATACTGTACAGACTGAAGATTAACGGTGTGATGGTAGATACTGTACAGACTGAAGGTTAACAGTGTGATGGTAAATACTGTACAGACTGAAGGTTAACAGTGTGATGGTAGATACTGTACAGACTGAAGGTTAACATCCTGATGGTAGATACTGTACAGACTGAATGTTAACAGTGTGATGGTAGATACTGTACAGACTGAAGGTTAACATCCTGATGGTAGATACTGTACAGACTGAAGGTTAACATCCTGATGGTAGATACTGTACAGACTGAAGGTTAACAGTGTGATGGTATATACTGTATAGATTGAAGGTTAACAGTGTGATGGTAGATACTGTACAGACTGAAGGTTAACAGTGTGATGGT